GATTGGGAATTCGCAATATTGCCCCTTTTAACTCTTCCCTGTTGGCTAAGCAGCGTTGGCGGCTTATTCAGTCCCTCAATTGTTGGTTTCCCGGCTTCTATTTGCGAAATATCCGGCTCTTCGTTCCATCAACTCAATCTCGGTTTCTCACCCCTCTTAGGGTTGTAGGGGTCTTATTTCGGGATTGTCAGCATTGTCGTAGGGGCTGTTTTGGAAGGTTGGTTCATGTTCTCGCGTTCGTATTTTAGAGGATTTCTGGTTCCGGGGGGATCAGTTCATTTTAAGGATCTTCCGACAGAGTCGGTTCGACCGACTCTTGTGTCTTCTTTAGTTGATCCGCTTTCTTGTGCGTAAGATGCTTCTATTATTCATGGGCTGTTTGATTCTAGCTCCGCTGCTAGAATTCTTTCGTTGGACCGGCCAGTGCGGTTGGTGGATGATTTTGTTCACTGGAAATTCACTAGGGATGGTGTTTTTTCAACAAAATCTGCTTACGCACTTCTTTGTGAGCCTAGGGTCATGTCTAGTAGTTAATCTCAAATATCTCTAGTATGGTGGAGGAAGTTTTGGGCTTTACCATTTCTTCCTCGGTGGAAATTCTTTAGTTGGAAATTGCTGCATGACGCTCTGTCTTTAGCAGCTATTCTCCATTCTCGAGGCATCATGATTGATCCAGTGTGCTTTTTATCATGTGGATGTGGAATTTGTGTCTCATACATTCAAAGATTGTCCTGCTATCTGCAGTCTTTGGCTGTCTGGAGCGTTGGGCATTCAATGGGATCTTATGCAGTTTCCTTCGTTTAGTGTTTGGTTCTCGAGTACAATTTCTCATTTTTTGTTATTGAGAGACTGGAAGGGTATTACTTTGTTATTTTCTCTTCTCTAGGCGGTTTGGATTTCTCGTAATCATCTGAGGTTTAGGAAAGTTGCTTAGTCTCCTTGGATTATTATTGGTTTGGCGTCAAAGTGGTTTCTTCGTAGTATGCAGGCTCTGGATTGGAAGAGGTTTTCGAAGTTTTCTTGTTTGGTTTGTTTGGAGGCTAGGTAGGACGTCCAGTGGCTTTGTGTGCGGGGGTTACCTTATATTATTTCTCCAACGACTTGTTTGATTATAGATGGGGCCTGAGATTGTTTTACTTATAGGGTTGGATCAGGCTGGATAGTCCGTGATCTTCATTCTTCTGTGGTATTGGGAGGTGGATGTCGGGTTTTTATGGCAAGTTAAGCGTTGCAGTCTGAGCTTTAGGCCTATGTCTGGGGTTTGGAGTTTGCTATATGTAGAGGCTTCTTAAAAATTCGGGTTTATACAGAGTGAGCTGCCTCCTTGCTCTTCTTCCCCCTTCTGGTTCAATGGAAATTTCTGCTTGGTGGCTCATTCAGGAGTTGCGAGCTTCGGTTCATTCCCTTTTGGTTTGCCAGGTTCAAAAGGTTCCTTGTTTGTGGGTTACTCCTGCGACTGGTTGGCTGGTTGTGTTCAGCGTCATTAGTTGTTGTATTTTTTGTTTTAGCTTTTTGTTGACAGTTGTTGTATTTGTTTGTTTTCCTTTTATTTGATAGCTCTTTTGTCAAAAAAAAAAAAAAAAAAAAAACTAAAACTATTTTGTGGAATGTCTTTTTTTTGGGAGGTTGTGGAATAAGATATTGGGAGATATTTGATGAAGCTAGCTTCCTAGAAAAGTCCTAGGAAAGCAACCATATCAGAGATCATACGTGAAGTTATAAAAAAGGAAAAAAAAAAAACCAATTCATCTTATTATAGCTAAAATATTATTAAATAATTTCATTTTAAGATAAGCAAAGTTATAGAAAAAGGAAAAACAAAAAATCAATTCAGCTTATTATAGCGAAAATATTATTAAATTATTTTATTTTAAAGATAAGATTAAAAGCAATGTTATTTGTCTTATCTGTGAAAAGTAATTAGAATCAAGTAAACATTAAGAAAGAACGTGTCACAAGAAATTCATTCCGTAACATACACTTTTGCCATAATATAATGCCAACTAAATTAAACATTTTTATTTTTTAAGATTGAACCTAGATTTTCATGATAAAATCTTAAATATAACACAAACTACAAATTCATCAATATAATGTACTCCCTGACATTTTCATTAAAAAAGAGAGAAAAGAAGCTTAGAGTACGTTAATAACGTTATGTAAGTTCTACACACTAAAACATACGAAGTTTTTATAAAGCAAACTTAACCATTTTGACATTTGCACACTACTAAATGACATTGCCCTGTAGTAGACCATCTCTAATTTGTGCAGCAACATCCTTAATAGCACCAGGACCATGAGGGATGAACACGGCCGAGGATTTCGAGGAAGCCCCAATTTCCTTCATCGTGTTGAAATACTACATCACTAGAACCATGTCCATGATATCCTTAGTAGTTGTACCGGGCACATTTTCGGAGAAGTTTAGCGCGGCTGTCCTTCAGCCCATCTACTATCCACGAGCGTTGCCTTGCTATGCCGAGCCCTGCCAAGTACTTGGACTCTGCTTCCCCCTCGGCTTTCTTGATTTGCTGTGTTTTCTCTGCTTCCGCCTTTTCATTTGTTGCCTCCCTTAGCCTTGCAGCTACATTTAAATTGACATGCGAGTATATAACATGTAATTTACAATGCTAATACTAACTACTACTTGGTGCTTTGGTAGATTATATTCAAGAGTTGTTTTAGTCCCAATTTTCTAAACATAAACTAGGATTTAAATTAAACATAAAGATTGCTTAATAAATGAAATGTATAACACATGTGAACATAATAAACATAGTAGTAGTAACAATTAATAACCTTAAGAAGTTATACTAGGCATAATATACCTGCATTGATCTCCTTTATAGCAGTCTTTACTTCAGCATCAGGCTCGATGTCGATTATACGAGTATAAAAAATCTTATATCCATAAGTTGACATAGCCTAAAGCGAGGTGACAGATTACAAGGGTTACAACCATGACCATCAGTGTAAGCAATATTGAACGACCATGACCATTATATTCTTGTAAATGCAATAAGCTATTTATATTATAGGAGCAATGCTATAAAACCTTTCCAAGCTCGTCTTTCACAGTTTTTGCTATGGCGTTTCTCTGCTCTACAACAACATCAAGCTCCATTTTAGGTACACTAGCGCAAACAACTACCAACAGAAATTAAAGGCCGATTATATAAAACAGAGGATTTTAATAATAAAATCATGTTAAGAGTTACTCTAAAGCTTCTTATATTACTAGTACTAGTATATTCATGAGAATTAAACATGATATTTAGGGTTATATCCACTCAGTTACATATTTATACATTACATACCATCAATAACATAGGCTTGGATATGAGTAGTGGTGTTGCTAAGTTTATAAAATGCATCTGCCGCGTTCTCTTTCATCACACGATATATAATTGATGCAACCACAGTCAGGAACACATTATCCTGAGAAGATCACAGTGGTTAATTATGCCACTACTTATACCGCATTCCCAAATTAAAACATATAGCCCTTTGAATTTGCAATAGAATAATATTCATGTCATTTAAAATTTTGAACTATATGATTTACAGTGATTAAGGAATTTGTCAATTTGATATAGCTATAAAAGTATATGATTAGTGATTTGGTATGTAACATTAACCTTAGTTTTGGTCTGACAACGAATATTAAGTTTCACACCTAAGAAAAGACCGCCTTTTATTTCATAACCAAGAAACCAAGGCACACAATGGCATCCAGGGCTCGAGGAAATCGTCGTATCTTCCCCATTTTTCTTTGATTGCTATGGTTGAATGAGCTACTTGAAATCATCCAAATGACTGCCCCATTGTTGAGTACCTTAACAACTTAAAAACACAAAAAAAGAAAAAAAACAATTTAAATTTCTTGATAACTAAACAATTGTGATGATAAACTTGCTTTTTATATGCATATTTAAGGCAATAAATTCTTTATATTTAATTGCTCAAAAACAAATTGGGGGGGAGGGCAAGCATAAAATAAATGTACATGTATTTAATAGCTTACTAACCTTTTTTCAATAACTTGCATGAAGATGATTAATATAGTTGTAAGCTAGAGAGATCTCGATGACTTGATAGGAAATTTACCAATGAAGAGGCGAAGGAGGGAGAATATAGTAACTAGTAATTCTGCAAAAAATTGCAATGAAGAGATACACATGCTATATAAGGAAAAAATACATCTAACTTATCTCTTTTTTTTTTTTTTGTTAATTTGGAGACTTGTTATGCCATGTGCAATGTACGGGTTATATGAATATATGTAATGAGGAGAAAAAGAAGGTAAAATATTAAAACACGAGAGAGTGAAAAGGGTAGAGGAAAATAACTGCAATAGATTAATCGAATATGATAAAATGAAAGAGAGAAAACAAAATGAACAATTGAGGATTCCACTTTTTGACTGAATTTCAATTATCTTCCAATTTACGAATGTCATTTATGTTGTTATGTGCACCCTAGTGCATAGCTTGTGATGTGGACCGAAACTTTGGAAGGTTTGTGTTGTTACACACACCTTTGTTATAGTTGATGATGTTGCAAAGTATTATTACATGATTTCATTTTAAGATAAGCAAATTTATAAAAAAGGAAAAAAAAAACCAACTCAGATTATTATAGCGAAAATATTATTAAATTATTTTATTTACAGATAAGATTAAAAAAAATATTATTTATCTTATCTCTAAAAATAATTAAAATCAAGAAAACATCAAGTAAAAATGTGTCACAGGAAATTTACTCCGTAACGTACACTTTTGCCATAATGCCAACTAAATTCAACATTTTTATTTTTTAAGATTGAACCTAGACTAACATTTTCATTAAAAAAGAGAGAAAGCAAGCTTAGAGTACGTTATTATGTAGAGTTCTACACATTAAAACATACGAAGTAAAAGATATTTCATATACTCGACTTATGAAATTTTATAAAGCAAACTTAACCATTTGACATTGCAAACTACTAAATGGCATTTCCTTGTAGAAGACCATCTCTAATTTGAGCAACAAGCCAGCAACATCCTTAATAGCATCAGGACCATGAGGGATGAACACGGCGGAGGATTTCGAGGAAGCCTCGATTTCCTTTATCGTAGAGGTGTCAAAAGTACACCCGACCCGACCCGATCTGAAACCAACCTGAAAAAATATCCGATTCAAATTTAAACTCGCGTGGATACAATAATTTTGTATGACTTAACTTTAAAAATTGATCCAACCCGACCCGACCCGACCATATCAGACTCGATCCGAACATCTGAATTGACACCTCTATTTCATCGTGTCTACAATAGTAACGCGGATGACCCGTGCACCCGTCTAACCCTCCAACGTTAATCCGCAATGTCAACTCCTCCACGGCCCACGTTTATCAAACCTTCCCTCCAAAACCAATCAATCCAAAAAACATTCAAACATTTCAAAAAAATATGCCATCTTTCTCATTTCAATTTCTTTCCATAACTCAACGTTACACAATCTCTTCCTATCCTTCAATTATTACAACAACATTAATTCATTCCTTAATTCAAATTCAATTCAACCTCATTTTCGCTTCAATTCATGGAAGCCGCCAAAGCTAAAACAGAGGCGGCTTTCAAGCCGGCTCATTTGGTAACTTTTTCTCCAACACCCTCTTCAAAACTCAACAATCGGCGTCTCTCAAGCCAATTCTCCAAGCCGAGTAGCCCAATTCGAGCTGGCGCAACAAAGAAGAAGACTTTGGCTTGGATTTCTCTCCAAGGTCGGCTCGTTGGAGCCGATGAAGCTACCTCGGCTCAAGCCATTGACGGCGGCTTAAGCCAAGAGGAAGCCGTGGGGTGGGAACTCTTTAGCCGTATTCATCGTGTTCTTATTGTTGCTGTTGCTGCTGCTAAATGTGAGAAGAATCGCCAGATTTTCCAACTCAGAAAATGTGTTCAACTCAGGGTTTGTAAAATTCCCCTTTTTCTTTTTAATCACATTTGATTTTTTGAATTTGTTATGAATTTTTAATTTTTTTTTTATGTGGGGTTTGTTAATTCAGAGTTTGGTAAAAAAATAAAAATTAAAAATTTTGGTGGGTCTTAGATAATTATCGACTTTTGTAAAGATTATGTAAGGGTTCTGGAATATGTAAATTATTAATAATTGGAAGTAAAAAGTGATTAATTGGATAATATAGATGATGATTATGATGATATTGATGTTTAAAAATTGTTAGCTTTACAAGTACAATTGTTTGTAGACCCGCTTTGTTGGCTTCTTTTGTCATAGGAGAATTATACATTGTGAGCCAATTTACGCGAATAAGAATGAATTATATAGATTTTGCTTAAATTTTCGCGATTGGGATCTTTTTTAGCATGTTTGTGAGCCAATTTACGTGAATGAGATTGACTTGTACTCTTAATACCCGAGTTTTGGTTTTAAAATTGATTGAGTTAGTGACTCTACATGATCAAGGATGGTGTTATCACTGTTATGTGATACCCGAGTTTTTGGTTTACTATTATGACATGCCGAATTATTTAGCTGCATTCTCTAATTTTGAATTAGTAAATGTGAATGTGATTGAAGTAATAGGGAGTGCATTCTTTTGAGTTTTGAGTGTTACTGAAAAATTTAAGTTGAGGTTACTGATCAGTGTGTCTTTATGCTCTTGCAGGATGATATATTGATGAGAATGCAGCAAAAGCTGGATGAATTGTGTGATCAAATGAATACTATGAAAGATCAACCTCAACTAATAGTTGATTCTTCAGCATCCAAGATAATGGATTTTTCGTCTTGAAGATCATCTTTGGCTAGCAAATCTGACTCTATGTGCACAGACTGCTGGTTCTATGATCAACACTGAGCTGAGTTGAATGATGTTTTAGTGAAACTCTATTATTTGCCTGTTTTGTTACAAAGTACTTCCTAGTGGTAGTTCATTGCATGCACTATACACACACGAACAAAGAAAAAGATAGGTTAAGGAAACAGAATTTTGTGTTCCTCAGACTTGTTAGAAGCTGAATTTGACATGCTTGTAATGTCCCAGGGAAACTCACTGGTGAAAGCTGCTAGTGGTGACGAGATGTTTAAAAATAGACTGTCCATTTCTAATGAAGCAGAACAGGAGGAATGTCGTATGTCAGATTTGTCTGATTGGGCTTCAAGTGTCACTTCAGTGGCAGATTTACTAGTAATGAAATAACCATGGTTTTTGTAGTTTCTATGTATGATGTATATGCATCTGTTTTTGAGCAAAGGATTACTTATTTTTGCCTTTTGAGCAAAACTTACACTGGATGTCGATCATGGACGTGCTTTTCAGCTAAATAACTTAGCAATAAAGCAAGATATAATCTCAAGAGGGAATGTGAAGAAAAAGATGCTGCTATAAAGGAGCTTTCTTCTTTTATTCATTCAAAAGATGTTGTCACTTCTAAGGTAAGATATGCCTTACTATTTGTTTCTGTTTTTCCTTAATTTGTGAATTTGTTAATCAAGGATGGCTCAGTAAAGACACATTCCTTTTCTTGACAGAGAATCGAAGAACTTGAAGAAGTTATTCGAAAATGCATAATTATTACTAAGTTGAAAAAGAACTTGATTGTTCTGGAACAGAAGGTAAGAGCTCTTTGCTGAAACAACTTCAATCGTTTTCTACTCTTTTTTCTCTAATAAGTTGCCAAATTCTGATCCCTAATGAATGCCTGCAATAAGATATTATTCCCTACTTCCTTAATGTTTGTGAGCTAAAGCAATATTAAGTCTACAACCCGAATGGAAGGAGCATCAATATTCAACAATACTAAAGCTTTACATTATTACTGGTGGTGAACTTAACAAGAGCCAAATGGCGGTCATTCTCTAAGCCAAGCTTGGATAAGAAACAGCTACCTACAATGTCAGCAATCTGCTTTATGATATGGATAGTCCTTCATCTTCTGATGATTTAGACTGCATCTCTGAGAAGAAGCAGAATGCCTCTAGTATTGTTGAAAGTTGAGTAATAGTAAAGGCCTCCACAAACACTCTTCTCCTAAACAGCTTTTCTTCAAGTGAGAAAGTGTCAAAGATAAACCAGAACTTATCACTTGCAAAAGCGCCATCGCCTTCTAAAAAGCTTTCTCTTCGGGTCCCGAAATCCAGACCAGTGAGTCCCCTAAAGGAGAAATCATTGAATCAAACTCATTCTTCAGCATCTTCTCTAATGCCAAACAAGGTGTCTGCAGGACGTGTAGGTGTAGGTTCAAAAACTAACAAAAGACAACTCATAGTGGATCCAAAGATGAAACCTCATAGAAGCGATGGATGTAGTAAGTATCTTTTACGACCACCAGAAGTAGGCATAACTTTGATGGTAAGGCAACTTGAAACAAAAATGTCATATAAGATAGTGGTAAACACAATATAGGTATTGTTCTCACAAGTATGGATAAATGAAAATGCCTTACAGTGAAGATTTAAGTTTGATCACGGAAGATCAACTATCAAGGAATGTTATTCAGCTACAAGTGTGAAGTTTAGCATTGGATTCATTACATTAGAAGATCTCAAGTTATACATTCATCAGGGGGAGAAAATACGCGTTGCACTCTTTTTCCCTTAACCATGGTTTTGTCTCACATTGGGTTTTCCTGGTAAGATTTTTAACGAGGCAGCATGTCAAGGCGTATTATGAAAGTGTTATACTCTTTTTTCTTTCACTAGGTTTTTATCCCATCGAGTTTTTCCTAGCAATAATGATCATCCAAGGGGGAGTGTTATATAATATATGTATTTAGTGAATGCCCATTATACCCTTATGATAATTTTAGGATATTCTAGGTTTATTAATCTACAAGGAAACCCTAATTGAATCACATGTATATATATATATGTACTCCTACATCATTCAGTTTTAAGAATATAGTTCTCTTCTCTCCGCTACTTTCTCCTCTTTCTCTTTTATTTCATAACATATTGTAATTTATTTTAGATAAAAAAATTTATATTAATTATAAAAATAAATCAGCGCGTTTTTTGTGTGGCTGGTCATATCATGTAGCTGGATGAGAGACACCCAAACACTGACCGAATAACCCCTAATCAATTGAGTAACCCTTGATCAACCAAGTAACTCATGACCAAAGAATCCCAACCACACTGTATGACCAGCCACATACAAAACTTTGTAAAATAAAATATTAATGGTGAAGTTAAGAGGACCAGGAAGAAGGATTAATTACATAATTAGATCTGAATTGTGTGTAAAAATCTGCCATAAACTAGAGACAGATAATGCAACCCTTCACTATGATTCTATTAATGTTTTGTGAAGAGTATTACTCTTAAATCATTTTGGGAAAACCATTTATCATAATATGAAACGTTTAAAGGTTTTATAGTGGAATAAAATTTTTCTAAATGTTCCACAAAACTATTTAATTGTGTTTTAGAATTAAATTGTGAGTCCATTCGATTTGATGATATTCAAAATAGGATATCAAGGCCATGTCTTGGATAAAGAAACACCTATTAAGTGAACGTTGAATATCATATCGAAATCATCCCTAATCGAGGTCATTTGAAAGTTGGGCAACTGATGACCACGTGAGATTAGTGTGTAGTATGATTTATAGCACCGTTTCTTGTGCTACAAGGACATGATTGTCATAAATCATTTGCACAGGTATTAGTTTGGAACTATACCCGATCGACCTATGAGAATACTTTAAGAGATATGACAATCGTCATAAGTATATCGCTCATTATAGCTATCAGAACCTCTTTCCTCGACCATGAGTGTTGTTAGTTCTCTTGTTTGAGTACTAGTCCGATTTGATGTTATCAAACGTCTACCATAAAAGGGGATTATAACGGCAACACTCGGGTGGATAGGTCCTCTTAGTAAGGGAAGCTAACAATGCAAGACCGGATATGTCCCCCTATTAACAATAGGGAACATGTCTTTGTTGTTTACAAGGCCTCTCGAAGAGCGAGACTAGGGAAATGCATGGCCTTGTTCAGATGGATTTTAGAAATCATCTGCTTATTGGCAGTCGAACTCAGAAATCGAAAAACACTTCTAGACGTAATAAGGATGACGAAGAATCTTACCTTATAGTTCATGAAAAGACATTAAGTGACATAGGAAAAAGGCTATACACTTACAGCGCACTTGTCCAGAAGGACAAGTGGGAGATTGAAAGGAGCGGTGTCCTTCGAACAAGTGTATTATTCCGATAGAGGGTTTGGAATTTTTAGAAAGCTAATTATTCAGTGAGGTTAATTATTCAGTGAGGTTAAGTGATCCGAATGCCTAGCTGGAGACCGTTTCTGATCAGTAATATTAATGCGTAATTAACATTACAGCTTGATCTTGACTGAACCCCTCGGGTCACATCCAATCATGTAATCAAAACAAAACGACGAATTAATCTGAATTATTAAATAAGTCATTAGAGTAATACGAACAAAGACGTCGAATATCGAGCTCAGAGCGTCGAAACCGAGCGTCGTAAGTCGAGTCGAATTTAGGATCCGACGAGATGAGAAATCAAGCAAACAACAAGTTCAAGCTAAGCGGTAGCTTCGCATTGGCCTAGCCATGCGAAAGCTAGGCTAGCATAGGGCACCAACCATAATGCATGGCTGTGCTGCAAGCCAAGCTTGCGTGTGCGTGCTAGGCTTGCTAGCCGAGCATTCTTGCGGGGCAGAAGCACCTGGTTGCACGCAAGCTAGCACCTGGTGCGCCATGCGTGCTAGCATGCTGGTGCCTCGCACTCAACAACAAGCATAGCAGCAGCTAGGCACTGCCTAGCATAAGTAACGAAGCAGCAGCAGCAGCCCGCATAACGTGCGTTGTCTGCTGGCTATGTGTAGGCATATGCGGGCTGGCTGGCAGGCAGCGAGGCTGCCTTGGTTGCTAAGGCAGGCCGCCAGCAAGCACTTGCGTGTGGTTAGTTGTGCTTGTGAGAGCTTGTGTGTTTGGTTTTTCTTGGGGAGCAAGGGGAGGGTAGTCCCCCCCCCCCTTATGGTCCTCACCTAACCCCTTGCTCACCACTTGACATTTGTCGTTTGTTGATTCATTTGCATTTCAATTTGATTTTTGAATTAAATTAAATTGAATAAAATGCAATTTTACCAACTCTCCCACATTAATGGGAGATTGGAATTCAAGAGCTCATTTCCCTATAAATGCCAATCATTTGGCATTAGGAAGGGACACTTGAGTTGTGAAATTTAAGGGATCTCCAAGAAGAGAAAACCTTAGTTCTAATACTCTAAGTTCTTTTGGTCTAACTCCGACTAAGCTTCGGGGTAAGGGCCATTCGGGTCGGGTCTCGAGGGTGAGAACCGTTGGAGGCTTGCGCATTTGCGTAGTTTTATGCTTTCAAGTTCGAGCTCTAATAAGAGAGAAGCACGCATCAAGGGTATGATCGTTTTTCTCTCCTTTTGTTAATTAATTATGTGATTGTTAATTAATACTCATGTTTAGTTACTTTAATTTGTTTCGGATTTTGGGAGGTTTCATTCTGCTTAGTGTTAGACACTACGAAACCCAACAACTCCCACCAAAATAATTAGGGTTAACATTACCCCCCATCCTCCCAAAAGGAATGTCTTGGCTGTAGCCAAAGAATGAAGAGTAGTCTGTGTAAATTAAATACCACGGGAGTCGGGATCCACGTATCCCTGGGGTGGTGGTTGGAACTAGTCAGGGTAAAGGGAGTCAGCAGGAATAACAACATGACGAGCATAGTCGTCGTACATGGGAAAAAGTCTCCTACCCGTGTTCCACTCAACATAGCCCACCCTCTGGTCAAGGGAACCAACTAGCCTCCTAATATCCCCAACCTCTGTCCTAAGCTCCCCCTAGGCCTCCTCTATCCTACCTATAGCCTGAGTTATACTCTGTAGGTCCTTAATGGTCTTAAGGTCTGGCCTAGGCTGGTGTGGGGGTGGCTGAGGCACATGTGGCTGTGGCACATGTACCTGTGGTTGTGCCTAGGCAAGCAGAATATCATATGTATAGGAATGCTGCCCAGGAGAGAAAGCGGTCAACACTGTGTTAGGGAGAGGGAAAACGGGTATGTAATCCTTCCCAACCCTCACATGCCACTCTAGGACTTGATGATGGTTTGGTTTAACCCAGTTTAAGCCTTGGAGGTAAGTCAAGTTCATAAGAGTGCCCCCCCCCATAGTTGATCAACCCCCCCTCGTAGCTAGTCTTACTTAACCCCGCCTTCTTAATCGCTATCCTAGTGATTAGGCCGCCAAAATGAATAGGGGTCTTGACATTGTTACTACAAGCATTGGGATGCCTA